GGGTACAGTAGGGTAGGGGTAGGGGTAGGGTAGGGTAGGGTAGGGTAGGGTAGTGTAAGGGCAGGATAGGGTAGGGTAGGGTATGGTAAGGTAGGGTAGTGTAGGGGTAGAGGTAGGGGCAGGGTAGGGGTAGGGTAGGGGTAGGGTAGGGTAGGTTAGGGGTAGGGGTAGGGTAGGGTAGGGTAGAGTTAAAATTGAGTAACATCCTAACTTATTAAGGGCTCGAACAACTCGCATGCATCACCATCATATAGTTCAATTAAAAGCAGTTACCCAGTTCTACACAAATAATACCAATAAAAATGCAAGTTTCTACACCCAAACTAATGCATCCGTTTATCATACATATCAAAACATACAGTTATCGCGTAAACCTGTACCTCTAGTAAACAATAAAAGATGATATTGACAGGTCTGTGGCTTGGCTAGGTAAAGGTATTTCAATCTATTGAAACTAATATTTGATAAAATAAACTGAGATATCAACAAAAGTATAAAAATATTCAACAGCCTGGGGAACATGCTGGGGAAGCGAAATACTTCAATTGTAATGGCCTTGGATATATACCGTAAAATGATTATTCAGTCTCTAAATAGAACTGGTGACGTCATTTCAAATAACAATTGAGCTAAGTGCTCTACTTTTGAGTATAATAATAATAAATAAAAAATCAAACTGGAAATTCAAAAGTCTTTTTTTTCTTCAAAATGATGTTCATTTTTTCTGCCTCACATAATTTTACGTTATGATTGTTCGTGAATATCATCTTTGTAGCGTTGAATTTAATGACGTAAACGTAAGCTGAAATGGTATTACGTAGTCCTTGAGCGGGAGACATTCATTGCGCGAGTGCTACAAGTGCGCCTTGCATCTTTTTTTATTCACTTCTAATACAATATCTTACGTCATTAGTATACAATATCTTACGTCACAATATCTTACGTCATTAGTCCGAAGGACCCATAACGGGGAACCTTTTGGAATCATTACGGTTTTAGTCAGATTAAGATTTTTCATTGGTCAAACGATAATGACGTAATAAAACAATATTACCAAAACGTGAGCTGTGAATTTCGTTTGTCGTTTTTGGGAGGCTCTCTCATTACGACAGCAGCATGGCACCGCACTTGGCACGGTGCCAAAGTAGGTAATCTGAAGAAGTTAATGCCTCTTTTGAACTTGGAATTTTATTAGGAAAGTATTAGAGGTTGGTTGCTACTCTTTCTCTTACTAAATCGAAGTTGGGTTTTCATACCTGGTAGAATAAGTGGATTGCTGGATTATTTTGAACAAGACTGACCTATTTGGCTTCCAGGTTTGATTTCCCAACATCTGTCCATAGTGATAGGCGGCGGAACGGGAGAGGGGGGGGGGTGGCACCAGGGCACTGTGCCCCCCATATATTTTTGCATTTTAACATTAGCCCTACTGGCATTGCATGGAAAGAATGGGACCAAAAGTCTGCAGTGCCCCGCCGCCACTGCATCTGTCTGTACTGTTTGTTTATTGAATTAAAGTGACTGTAGCTTGCTGATATGATTGTCATCAGTGCTGTCATGAAAAAGTTACAATTGGTCACAAAAAGTAGCAATGTGCATGTTCTTGGTTTATTTTAAATGTAGTACAAATGTTCTTCATTTAAAGTCAAATTTATTGATGATACTTAATGATTGCAACTGGTCTTAACCATGTCCACAAGTGACAATTCTCAATTGTATTGCATTGTAAGGTGTACAATTATGTAGGATAAGGGTTTCATTGGCTACATCTTGTCGTGAGATCCATACAGATCATAGGCCCTCCACAAATTTTTGCCCGCTGGATCCACAGAGATCATAGATCTGACCCCTAAATTTTGTCGAGAGATCCATTCAGATCATAGATCCGACCCCTGAATTTTGTCGAGAGATCCACTCAGATCATAGATCCAACCCCTCTGTTTTGCCGAGAGATCCACTGAGATCATAGATCCAGCTCTCGGATCCATGCACATGTCTGTTCACTGCACTTATGTCAGAAAATCGAATGCACATGCCATGGTCACACGCGGTGCCGTCCACGGGGCCGGCAGAAGCTGCACACTGTCACCGAACACCACCTGCACCTTGGACGCAGTATGTGAGGGCTTGGCGGACGCGCGCCGCCTCGCGTGCCGTATTGGCCTCAAGGCCCGGACACGCGGGAGCACACTCGGCGCAATCAGAGCACACCGTCCGGGGCCGTCAGTGTCGATCTCCTGACCTCACAGAAAGTTGTGCAGCACACAGGTGACCGCCGTCAGTGTGGTGACTGGTGCACAGCACACCGTCCCACGGAAGATCGTCTTTGGGCCGTGGTGCAGATGCTGTCTCTAGGCAGAGTCAACAGTGCAGTGGCAGAAGCTGAACATTCAGCTGCTAGACTCCTTTTCGGGTCAGCAATGCCGTCGAGTTGGCCATCAGGTGGTGTTGCAGAATCATCAGGTACTCTTGATCAGGTACATCAGGTACAGAACCTCTTGACTCATCAGGCAACGCTGTGACTTGTCTGCCAGGCACAGAGGGCGGACATGTCAGAACATACTTCAAATACATTTTTACAAATCATTTTTTAACCAAAAGCTCTGCAAATTAGGAAGCCTGGAATGGGCTATTGCTTAGCATCATAAAAACTATCCAAATACCCAAATCAGGTTAGGTTTGGTTGTTGATTTATTTAATGGTAGGTTTTTACACTTCAGGCTAAAATGAGAATTATCTTGTCATCATTATCCTTGATGTAGCATTGTTGACGCTTTTTGTCTTGCACAATTGGCAATCAGTATTCAGTGACACAGAATTGGAATTTGTGGTTCAGAAACCTAGCATTATTTCACGCCTAGCATTTTAAGGCAGTGCTCATTCTTTTTGAAAGCAAGTGTATTTTTTAATGTAATTTTCTAGGTAACTCATTTCCTACTGAATATGGTTATGAGACCATTGTTACTAATTTTGGTATTGTTAAGGCAGCTGTAGCATGAGTGGGCATATGCTGTGGAGACTGGAGTGATTAAAGTCACTAGAGGCTTGAGGGTTTTTTTTTTAGACATTATGCAGCAGCCTGGGGAGATATGCAGAGGCAAGTCTAGGCACCGCCAGAAGGGGGACAATCAGTCAGCACAACACACAGTGGGCACAAGGGGAGAAGATTGTAAAAACTATTGCCTGGATCCACCTCTGTGGACATCCTCAGGCATGCCTCTGTGGACATCTCCAGGCTGCTGCATGTAAAAAAAGTATCAAGCCTCTAGTGACTTTTTCCACACTGCAGCAAATGCCCGCTTATTCTTGGTCTGCTATACCTTCCTCCAATTATGAGTTTTGTGTGAAAATGGCATTTTTACATTGGTGGAGCTTGTGTGCGCATGGTACACATAAGTCATGCCGGCAGCATTGCTGCAATGAATAGGAAACAGCTCCAGAGCCAAAATACATACCACCTAATACCTTGCCAAAATACATGACATACCACCTACTGTGCATACTGCATTTATTTATGTACTAATAAGCCATGGATTATCATTTGCCATGTGAGCACGCACACACACGCGAACCCAATGCGGATTAAGTTTGGCCTGGGTTGTTTATCCATGGTACCAAGGAAAACTCCAGCAGAAACAATAACAAAATTGCAAAGCTACCTGTTTGATTTTGATCATGCTAATTAATAAGCAGCAATATAATATTTTGTTGCTATCAAATATTTCCTTGTGTCGCACGACATAGGTAGGCAAATAGCTGACTGATGGGTACTTTGTCCTCAAGGGCACTGATACTGAATGTAAACAATGTTCTTGTGACACAACAAGCAAGTTTTCATTACCTTATGAAACTAGTGTCAATTTCAATGTCATTAAAATATTCAATTTTGATGAAAAAATACATATTTATCACAAATAAAAATCATGGGTGATCATGGGCAAGTGCGCCACAAATGACATAAACCCTCCAATATTGTCGAATCAAGCTTAAATTCAAGTCACAACAGCTTCACGACAGGCAAACTACAAGATAATAATCCCTATGCTACTGTGCAACAAATTTAAGGTAGCCACACCAACCAATTTAAGAAAAAAAAAATGCATCACAAATCACCTAAACCACTCACCAAGGACAAAACTGTCATGGCGGCGTCCGCTGCTCGAGAAGAGTCGCCGGCGACTGGCCTGTGACGCGGATCTGACGTCACCAGTTGCTGGCGATTGCCCGGCCGTGGCCCGGCGATCGCCGGCGACTTGCTTACGTCATACCTACGTCACACACGATCGTTGGCTGGCGGTCGCTGGCGGTCGCCGGCGACTGCTGCTGTCGCCGGCGACTGAAAAGTTGCTACGTGTGAAAGGGCAATAAGGGCGCGCCGGGCGCCGGCCACCCGGATAGCCTCTGCCGAGTCTCCCTTTCATACACCGTTTACTACGCGCTCGATTCGTTCATGATTCTGTGTTTCCTCGTTCCTCTCGTTAGATGGCTCTACTGATGCCATAGGCGATCCCAGGAAGATTGCGGCCAGAATACCCCAAACGGCAGAAAATGAGGTTTTTGGTGAATATCTCGGAAAGTATTTGGCATACAACGATGCAATTTCACAGTCTCGTGGTAAATGTGCATACACATAATTCGGGTTGATACTTATGCATTTGAACATTATATAGGACCAGATATGTCCGAAAAAGCAAAACCAACAAGACTTTTACTGGAGAACCGTACCTTCTATAGATGGCCTTGCGTCGTACACGGCGGCGGGATTTACTTTTAAGGATTTATAATATAGATAAAAAATACGCACGTGCGCATGCAGTATTTTTGCCGTTGCACTTCTATGAAGAAAACAAATTGTCTTTATTCTGAATGACCCATATATTCATGGCCACTGTGCTCTCATCCTGCACCGTGCATGCGTGCGTGCGTGTGTGCGTGTGCGTGTGTGTGTGTGTGTGTGTGTGTCCATGTCGGTGACGCGGCGCATGTGTGCTTGCCATCAGAGTCGGCGGGCCGCGCGCCGGACACGGGCGTTGGTGATGGGCCGGCCCTGTTCGACCTGGACGCCTACTCGGAGAAACAGCTGCACCGGCACTGCCACACGGCCATCAGCGTGGTCGCCCACCTGCTGGCCTCCGAGACGTTTGTGGTGCAGGTGACTACCGACGGCAGTCGGCAGCACGGAGCCGGCCGGCCGGCGGCGCTGAGCGCTGCTCCAGCTCCGGGCCGGCGGCGCTTAGCATTCCACACTTCAGACACACTGGCGCGCTGGCCGGCTCTGTGTTTCCAGTGTAGCTCATACTATCAGTGTTATCCGGGGTCAGGTTTGTGGAGACACGGCAGAGTCTGTGCCATTTTCTTCGCTAAATAATGATCTAGATGAGCTGGTGTCTATGGTTGGTAAAACCGAGCGCAGAGGACAAGAAACTCGAATTTTTTCCCATAGAGCTCTGTCCATCGTATATATATATATATATATATATATATATATATATATATATATATATATATATATATATATATATATATATATATATATATATATATATATATATATATATATATATATATATATATATATATATATATATATATATATATATATATATATATATATATATATATATATATATATATATATATATATATATATATATATATATATATATATATATATATATATATATATATATATATATATATATATATATATATATATATATATATATATATATATATATATGAGTTTACAAATTCACTAGGGAGTTTTGCAAACTCACTGACCGGTCAGGGAGTTTGAGAAATTCCAGAGCGATTGGGACAAATAAAAACAAGTGTGCAGCATGTGGGTGTCATACGTGCCGTCCGTGATGTTAAAACAAAGGCGGCTAGTTGTACGGCCTATTTAACAGTCGCACGCTGACAAAAAGCTTACAGATCATATGCACATCATAAATGCCTACTTTAGATTTTAAACTGTTCAGTGATTTAGCCCAAACATGTAGCGCCGCTGTATTTATTCATACATTTATTTAGTTCACGGCCCAGCTGTATCCGTTCCACTCAAGTGTTGCTATTCCAGGGTCCGGCTCAATATATCAAAGCAGAAACAGCTCAGTAGGTCATTTATGCTAAAGCATATAAGGCATGCGTGTGGAACACTTGTGTGGAATGGATCTATAATAATTGGGACGTGAACTAAATAAGTGTATGACTAAATGAAGCGGCGGTACATGTTTGGGCTAAATCACTGAACAGTTTAAAATCTAAAGTAGGCATTTATGATGTGCATATGATCTGCAGACTTTTTGTCAGCGTATGACTGTTAAATAGGCCGTACAACTAGCCGCCTTTGTTTTAACATCACGGACGGCACGTATGACACCCACATACTGCACACTTATTTTTATTCGTCCCAATCGCTCTGGAATTTCTCAAACTCCCTGACCGGTCAGTGAGTTTGCAAACTCCCTAGTGAATTTGCAAACTCACTGATGGGTCAGGGAGTTTGCAAACTCCCTAGGGAATTTGCAAACTTACGGATACTGTGTGTGCTAAAATGCGCACACAGTGATCAAGGTATTTGTTACCGAAAGGTCTGTTTTTTAACTGTATTTGAATATATTGACGTTTTTACGGAGCGAGCGAAGCGAGCGGAGTCTTTCCTTAGATTAACGGAAATTTTTGAGTATGAGCGGCCGGCCGTGCGGACGCTTTTGCGAGGCTTATATCTCAGCAACTACTTGACCGATTTACATGCGGTAATTTTTGTAGGGTAGCTTCATTCCTTCTACCAAGTATTGGACTATTCCCGATGTATGTGGGTAACCCCTTATGCACGTGCCACGTGCAAAACGAAGAGGTGTCAGTTTTGTAATTGTTGCAATATCTCGGTAACTACTTTGCCGATTGCGCTGAAAGTTGGCATGTAGGTAGGCACCCACTAGGCACTGCATATCCATGTGCCAGAGTTGGGGTGCTGCTGCACGTGCGCACGTGCAGGGGCCGTTTCCAGATCTCGAGAACGGCTGGACCGATGGCGCTCAAATTTGGTACACGGTCAGAGACCAGTTAGTGGGGTGCCGTGCACAAGTCAGTTGGGACCCATTTTGCACGTGTGCACGTGCAGGGTGCCGCTTCCAGATCTCGAGAACGACTGGGCCGATTGTGCTCAAATTTGGCACATCGCTAGAGACCGGTTAGTAGGGTGCCGTGCACAACTCAGTTGGAGGTACCCCTCGCAATTTCGCACGTGCAAGGCTCACCCTCTCGCTCGCTCCGTTAGTCGCCCCAAAAGGCGTTATACTGGTTTATTACGGAGCGAGCGAAGCGAGCGGAGTCTTTCCTTAGATTAACGGAAATTTTTGAGTATGAGCGGCCGGCCGTGCGGACGCTTTTGCGAGGCTTATATCTCAGCAACTACTTGACCGATTTACATGCGGTAATTTTTGTAGGGTAGCTTCATTCCTTCTACCAAGTATTGGACTATTCCCGATGTATGTGGGTAACCCCTTATGCACGTGCCACGTGCAAAACGAAGAGGTGTCAGTTTTGTAATTGTTGCAATATCTCGGTAACTACTCGGCCGATTGCGCTGAAAGTTGGCATGTAGGTATGCACCCACTAGGCAATGCATATCCATGTGCCAGAGTTGGGGTGCTGCTGCACGTGCGCACGTGCAGGGGTCGTTTCCAGATCTCGAGAACGGCTCGACCGATTGCGCTCAAATTTGGTACACAGGGGCCGGTTAGTAGGGTGCCGTGCACAAGTCAGTTGGGACCCATTTTGCACGTGCGCACGTGCAGGGTGCCGCTTCCAGATCTCGAGAACGGCTGGGCCGATTGTGCTCAAATTTGGCACATCGCTAGAGACCGGTTAGAAGGGTGCCGTGCACAAGTCAGTTGGAGGTACCCCTTCGCAATTTCGCACGTGCAAGGCCCACCCTCTCGCTCGCTCCGTTAGTCGCCCCAAAAGGCGTTATACTGGTATATATCTGTCATGGATAACACACATCTGTCCATCGTATTCCCGCAAAGTTGTTACGGAGCGAGCGAAGCGAGCGGAGTCTTTTCTTAGATTAACGGAAATTTCTGAGTATGCCGGCCGGCCGTGCGGACGCTTTTGCGAGGCTTATATCTCAGCAACCACTTGACCGATTTACATGCGGTAATTTTTGTAGGGTAGCTTCATTCCTTCTACCAAGTATTGGACTATTCCCGATGCATGTGGGTGACCCCTTATGCACGTGCCACGTGCAAAACGAAGAGGTGTCAGTTTTGTAATTGTTGCAATATCTCGGTAACTACTTGGTCGATTGCGCTGAAAGTTGGCATGTAGGTAGGCACCCACTAGGCACTGCATATCCATGTGCCAGAGTTATGGTGCTGCTGCACGTGCGCACGTGCAGGGGTCGTTTCCAGATCTCGAGAACGGCTGGACCGATGGCGCTCAAATTTGGTACACTGTTAGGAACCAGTTAGTAGGGTGCCGTGCACAAGTCAGTTGGGACCCATTTTGCACGTGCGCACGTGCAGGGTGCCGCTTCCAGATCTCGAGAACGGCTGGGCTGATTGTGCTCAAATTTGGCACATCGCTAGAGACCGGTTAGTAGGGTGCCGTGCACAAGTCATTTGGAGGTACCCCCTCGAAATTTCGCACGTGCAAGGCTCACCCTCTCGCTCGCTCCGTTACTCGCCCCAAAAGGCGTTATACTGGTTGTACTCATTCGTTGCGCACTTGTTCCATAGTTCGTTTCTGTTTCCCTTTGGCTGTGGTGGTTTGGCTACAAGCAAATTTTCGACTTGCGTTTTTGGCGGCAAGGGCAAAAACTGAACTGAGGAAATCGAGCTCACCTACAGTCTTTTTTTTTTCTTAACCCGGGCCCTGGTGGGGTCTGTTTATAACGCAACCTGGTGGGGGGGGGCTGTTTTTACCCCCCCCCCCCGTATCTCCGAAACTACTGGATGGATCCTCAAAATTCAAACAGCGTTCGAAATTCCTGTCAAATTTGTTGAAGGAAATCCAATTTCATTGACCTCGGGATCACCGATGACGTAACAGGTCAGGTCAAAAATGTAATGTTTTACCGTTCACGGGGCTTCTAGGGAATGCTCTATAACATCGAATAAAACGCAGCTTAACGCAGTTTAACGCATTTAAGCGCAGTCACTCTGGTATCCCTGACCTGGTATCAGGGACCTCAACTAGAAAAATATGTTTGACGGACAGTTCTCCATCGGTGATTTTAAATACTATGCCTTTTACTCGACTTTAAAACACATTTCTTGAAATGCCTGTTAACAGCGAAAATTCGACCTTTGACCTGACCCGTGACGTCATCGGTTGGACTGAGGTCAATGAAATTGGCTTACAAGGTAGTTTCCCTGGTGGGGCTATCGAACGCCGTTTGAATTTTGAAAATCAGCCGGTAGGTAACTTTCCGAGGTCTTGGGGGGGGGCGAACGCTCCCCCTCCCCCCGCGTGGCAGGGTCCGCTGCTAGCCCTACGGGGTGCGGGTTAAAAGTGACCCCCGCAGTGGTTAGACATTAACAGGAATGACCATGAAAAATATGCGCCGTGTGTCGTGTGCTGTGTCTGACGCCGTGTGTCGGCCCTCAGAGCGCTGCGCTGGACGCGGCGGGCGCAGCAGCCGCGCGACAGCGGCACCAGCAGCTGCTCGAGGGCGCCATCCGGCTGATGGGCGTGTGTTCGCGCCTGTGCCACTCGGCACTGGCGGGTCGGCCGCAGGCGACTCGCCACCTCCGCGCCATCCTCCACCGGCTCTACGACCTGCTGGACAAGGTACGGCCGCTCTGTCTGGTCTGTCTGTCTGTCTGTCTGTCTGTCTGTCTGTCTGTCTGTCTGTCTGTCTGTCTGTCTGTCTGTCTGTCTGTCTGTCTGTCTGTCTGTCTGTCTGTCTGTCTGTCTGTCTGTCTGTCTGGTCTGTCTGTCTGTCTGTCTGGTCTGGTCTGTCTGTCTGTCTGGTCTGGTCTGTCTGTCTGTCTGTCTGTCTGGTCTGTCTCTGTCTCGGTGGATGACCGGGTGACGCCGCACGGTGCGCCAGGTGAACGCTCTGCTGCCCTGGGCCACCCTGCTGCCGGTGGTGTCGGCGCTGATGGCCAGTGATCTGGCCGCGGTGCGCCGGCGCGCCATGGACCTGCTCTCGTCCCGCCTGCAGCTGCAGCACGACGGCTTCTCCGAGAGCGACGTGCCGGCGCTGCTGGCCATCACAGACGGTGAGAGCTCGCCCCGCTCGTCTCGCATGTTGATCACACGTGTCACGTCCGTATCGCCCGCTACTTTGTGCTTTGACACCCGATTCAACCACTTGGAAGTGCCTATCCGGGGAGTCGGTGGGTGACGCCACTGACGGCCAGTGTCCCAAAATCGAGCTCTGTCTGGGGTGTCAGAGGGGAAAATCACCCAATAAAAAGAGGGGAGAGAGTGGAAAACCGCTGATTCGATTAGATCTAAAAAGAGTGAGAAACGACAAAAAGCATGCATTTTATTCTGGCGTGTAATGTGTTGATGCTAAACCTGGCATCCACACAACTGCTCTTGGTAAAAAATCTAGGTTTTCTTGGTTGGGAGTGAAAAATTATTCTTTGAAATTGGTGGTTAGAGTGAAAAATAAATTTCATTTGCATGTCGTTTCCCACCCAAATCGACAAATTTTGGGACATTGCTGACGGCCGTTTCAGAGCTGGTGGCCGCCGCCGGCGCCGAGTCGGAGGACGGCTCCGCCCTGAGCCGGCAGACTGCGCTGTTTGCCGTCAAACTGCTGAGCCGGCGGCTGTCGGCCGACCAGCCCCGCCACTTTGTCCAGGTGAGTGGACTGCGCGGCCGGGCGCCGCCGACCGCCTCTAGTCGCAAACTCCACCGCCTGGCTGATCGCTTTAAGCCCTTTAATGAAAAGCGCACGCATCAGTACCTACTAGTGGTGTCAATCGGTTACCAAAACTTCGGTATACCGATACCGAACCAATACCGATTCGTTATTATATACCAAAAGCCATCCATTCATTCATTCATTCATTCAAAAGCCATTCATAACATGCATAGATAACATAGATAACATGATTCATGTTATTTATGCAAAACCATTTGGTATTTATCGGTATTATAAAAATCAACTGCTACCATAAGAGATTTGAAAATATTTTTTTGACAAACTTTCTGAACTCAAACTTTTTTCAAGTATCAGACACGTTTATTGCAAAAACATCTTACCTACATATCTTACGCAGCAATCAAAATATGGTGGTCTGCCTGCTTTCACATACCCATGCATACACAATGTTCAGACACTCACAATGACGACAAACCCAACTGTTCGACATTAGCGCCCGGTCCCCACAGGTCGCCTGGCCGTTTTACTCCGCCCCCGGGGGTTCCTTGCACGGCTCGGGTGCTGCCGGAGCCGCGGGGTCGGGAAGGAGCTGCGCCGCACATGACCCAGTGCCGTAGCGGCTGACAGTTGACACCTGGCTGCGCAGACCGACATGAAGGTAGAAAAAGATGTAACCGTTTCTGGCGGTCTGGTGGCCGTCTCCGAGCACGTCCGACTCTTGCACGCAGCTGACACTGCGATCATCATAGTGGAACCAGTGGCCGCGGCCTACGCTGTACACGTCAGCGACGTACATGCATAGTGGGCCGAATGCGTGGCGGTGGCTGACCACGCCCACAAGTCGGTAGTTGTTGTCGCCGGCCAGGTCCAACGAGCGCCGCGACTGGTCGTCCTCCGCACGGAACTCGGACAGGTGCCCCTGTTCGGCGGCCAGGTCTTCCGATTCGTCCCCCGGGGCGGGGGCGGGGGTGGGCGAGAGCGGCGCCGGCGCAGGAGGCGGCAACAAGGGAACCGGCGGTCGCTCCAGCCTGGCCTGCTCCGAAATGTCTGACAGGTCGCGTAGTAGTGACTTTTTGCATCTCCACTCTGGCGGCCGTTTGACTTCGTCTGCCACGTACTCGTTGAGATATAGGAACTTTGGGATGCTTACGTTGGCCTGGACCTTCTTGGACTCATCGCCCCGGAAGAAGAATCGGTTCAGGTGCAGGATCAGCGTCCTGGGCAGCTGGCTGACTTTGGTGGTGACTAGACACTCGCCATGGCGGCAGTGCTGGCAGAGCAACTCCCGCCGCTCTGGCTGCATGCTCAATCGAAGCGCGTCCTGCAGCGTTGGCACCTCGCTGCTCTGACGACGCGGCACGTTCACAAACCAGGTGATGCTTTCTTGCCACCTCGGCATCCTTTTTTGACACCTGATGCATATGAAGTTCTCCATGGTTTGGAATTGGAAATTGTCTCGGACGGGATTTGCGGACGGCTGGCGGGCGTCGGTCTCGTCCTTTATCGTATCCAGCAGGCGCAGCAGGAACTCGTTGGCGTCCTGCATCTCGGTACCGCGGAAGGCTGGGTCGATGTCGCCGAACACGTCACGCAGGTTGCTGAGGTGGCTGGAGACGCAATGGCTGGGGGCCTTCTGGCGGAGCACCATCAGCTTGGCGACGGCGTGCAGCGTGCGACATTGGTCACTCTCCGGGCCCGAGTGCAACGCTATCATGTCGTTCAAGAACGGACACAGTCCTAGCAGTGCCTGCAGGGTGGCGTTCTGGTAACACGAGTTACCGTAATTGGGAAGTCCGATGTAGAGCGGATCGTTGCCGTGTTTGTCGGGGTCTGCAGCTGAGAGCTGTAGCTCGCGAGCCGTGTGCGCCTTGCCGCCGTACAGCTGCAGCGCCCTGCTCTCCTCCTCCAACTTCTTCGGCGACGGCGGCGACCACCTCTGCTGGCTTGCCACTAACCGGGAACCACCCGAGCAGCCAGACCGCCTCGAGCCGGCCGCCGTCGCCAGCTGCTGTTCGGCATTCTCCCTGTCGGGGCGCTCGGCGCTGCGCGGCGACCGCTCAGGCGAGCGCGGTACGTCTTCACCGTCTCCGCCTTCGTCACCTCCTCCTTCACCGACATAACACTGTCTTGACCGGACTTGAATTGTCAATTTCCGAAATTTTTGAAACCAATACCAAACCGATAGCGACCAAAACCATTCAGAGTATAGCGGAAACAAACCGATTTTCAGAAATAGGGGAAAATACCGAATGAAATGAATGCTTCAAGTTTTCTCAAAACGCATGTTAAGCATGGAAAGGTAGTTCTTTAAAATAAGGCGACAAAAACAAAACCAGGGATTCTCTAATTATTTGCATTGCAAAAAAACATTTACAACTGTATTGTGTGTCTATTAACAAATATTCAGGTCAGTTATTTGACTGGGATGTGGAATCAAGTCCTTTGCATGAGGTGTTAGGACGATAACTTGAACCATGAATCTCACCCATGCCTGAACCATCAAACGTTCTTTTCAACCCAAGTCATTCAATTCAAGTCCGGTCAAGACAGTGTTAGGTAAGTGTGTCATCATGATCCAATAATGGTGGCCCAATTGGCAATGATGGGCTATACCTTTATTATAAACAAAATCCATGATACCTACAGTCGAACCCAAGTTGCGTCAGTTAGACGATACTGACGCAGCCAATTTTTCTTCATGAACAAATATTTACAAAACGAAACTTGATGAATAATTACTTACGAGGCACACTGATAGAAAACAGGCACCACTGTGATGATATCGCGATGAAAGCTAATTAAAACAAGATACCTATAAGAAACAGGTAGGTCCGATGTTTTGAGTAAAGCCCACGTAAAGCCCTGGTGACGTCACTGACATTTCTTATATGGAGAATTTCGCCCATAAGAAAAATATTTTACATACGAAAATTTGTATTTCATTCGGAAAAAATACATTCTATCAATTTCATCATGAAACTTATATAATTTAATTAAAAAACTTGAAATCCTTTGAGTGCTTGTCCCAACCCCTGCTATACCTTTGGTCACGTGACTTCCATGATAAACATTGCGTTTTGCAATGTTATGACTTAAACAGAAGCAATAAATGTTACAAGCCTATTATTTATGATGTTTTAGGCAGCAATCGTGTAATAACATCCTTGAATTATATACATTTTGCTTAAAAGAGGTCACGTGATGTTACCAGATTGTGCTCGGACAGCATCTTCTTGAACTTCGATTTTGAGTACTTTTTACCTTCATTGAGTCCTAATAACGGACGTTTTTAGTTATAAAATGAAGCAATGAATCTATTGAGGGCAAAATTTAATCATTTTTGCACTTTCAAGCCGGGCTATCCTGGCATGAACTTCGGCCGGTTTGTGTGTGAAGCCTATGGTGAAGGGAAAACTTCACGCCCGGCTGACGTCACAGACCTCGGCTACCAAATCGTGTCCGGTGGGGGTCGAATTAAAATGTCCATAATTTTACGAAAACATTGACACATGTCACGTGCCATCTCTACCACAATGGTAGCCTTCTTGAGGGCGGCCATTTAGGCACAGAACTGCATAAAATAGAAGTTTTTCTGTTGCTAAAGACCACTTAAGTAAAAAAAATATATGTCTATATTTTGGCATCTCAAAATTAATTTAACCCTCGCCGGCCGAGGCGGGGGGGGCGGGCCGCCCCCCATAGGGTTTTTCTCGATAGCTCCGAACACGCTGGCGATAGAGAGCTGAAACCTGGCATACCTGACCTTTGATTCAAGCCGGATCTTTTGACACCAACCGCATTTTCGGGTCAGGTCAGTTCCCTGTCCTATGACGTCATAAGTGAACCTCTGCACGGTCTTCAGATGTCGCAACTTCGTAACGCCCTCACTGCCAGAGGAGCTTTCACAGGGAAATGAAACTTGCAGGATCTAATATCCATTACGAGTATCCACAACTTAAAATGAAGGTAGTTTGATTTTTGTGTGATATGTTTTGCTCAGCGAGGTGTGGAATCGAGCATTAAATCGCCTGAGCAAAAACTTAAGCATAGATTTTAGGTGGTTTTTATTTAATAGCAATTTTAAATACTGTCTCAAATAGCCCCACTGTCTCAAATAGCCCCACCTTACGGTATAGCATTCGACGCGCCTTAGCGACGCGAATACGATGCTGCCAAAATCGCGGCTCTGCGGCCGTTTATTGCGAAGTTATTCACCAAAAACGGAACCATACCTCGGGGCACTTGACCTGACCTCAGAGGTCACCGGTTGACCTATGACCTTAAAATTGGGTATCAATCTCTTCGGATTGTAATGGCGCTTACGCTCGTTTTTTCCGCGACGCGCTAGCTCCACCAGGGGCGAAACGGCGAGGGGGTCGTACCCTCCCCCCCCCTCCCTCCCCCTCGGCCGGCGCGTATGTAGAAAACCAATAGGTCCGGCGAGGATTAAGAAAGATTTTAGGCCGCTATAAATAAAAATGAAGTATTTGAAGAAAACAGAGTCGTTCAATTGTTTTCATTTTGTCATTGAGCTACATGAGTACTTGGCGCAGTTTTTCTATAGAAATTTTGTCCGAATGGATGAATGGGAGGCTATGGTCCCGGGTGCCCCGCTAAGCAGTGCTTGTTGCGAATGACACCACGGACCCACCGGCCACCACCCCACCTTGCCCGCGCCCGGTTCACCGGTGATAATTTAGATCGAAAGTTTAACGTGCCGCAGGTAGATGGCGGCGATAATCAATCAATCAATCAATCAGTTGCGATAATCAATCGTTTTTAGATGTGTTCAGTTTTGAAACTGTTGCGTGCAAATCAAGCCAAAACCCAGTTATATTTTAGGAATTCTTTTGATTACATTGCTAGCGATCCCTATCTATTGAGGAGAGCAGGAAAGAGAACACTAATTGAAGAAAATAAATTATCCACAGGATCTCTCAGTCATCAACAGCAGAGGCTTTTACAGGGTGGGGCAG